AACACTCTCTTGAGAGTCCTCATCAGCTGGGTCTGTTACATTCTAAAGGGCTCATGCCATATTATTTGACTTCTCCTTTCTACATTCTATTCTCTTTTCCATATTTTATTTATTTTCCCACTGTCTTCTATCACCATTCATTTACTTTATTTTTATGATCTTTTTTTCTCAATTTAATCTTCCATTACCTATTTTTTATAGTTGCTTTTTTTTACTGTTTTTCATTTCCTTCCATATCCTTGCACTGAATAGATTGAATTAGTAAAATAGGAAGGAAATGGAAGTTTGATTTTTCCTTAAACTGTTGTGGTGGTGGTGGGGGAGAAATCCCAGGACATCTACAGATGGTTGTTAAGGTATAGGGCAAAAAACAGGCTTCATCAATGGGAAGATCAATTGGTCTTTACAGCACAAATCTACACAGAGGTGTTCTATTTTATCACAACTGGAAAAATACAGGAGGAAACTTTTAGAGTGGTGGATATGTTCATTTGAGATGATGGTTGAGATGATGGTTTCATCGTATATACATGTATCAAAATGTATCAAATCATACAGTTACATGTGTGGTTATTAAATGTAAATAACTCAATAAAATTATAAAGGGGGAAATCATAATTGAAGCCAATTATAACTGAACCAAAAAAAGGATAATGATATTAACCTTTTATCAGCAACATGCTTTCTAAAAATTAAAAATATTTAACATACTTTAGGGGTAGTTCATTCTTAATGTACATCTCTTTAGGTATGTATGGTTATGATGCTGCTTTTGAAAGTCTTTTGAAATGGTTCCTGTGTAATTTTGCCATCAATTCATTGTTCCTTTAAGAAAAATTTTTGTTTGCTTTTTATCCTATTAAAAAAAATAATTTTAAATTCAATTTTGTTTAATAGTTATGCAAAATATTTACTTTGTTTCAAATTTAAATTTTTAAGCAAATTATATTAACAGAAGACTTTGTCCTATTACTACACCCAACTGTTACCTTCTTTCCATACATACTGACTTTTGAAAGTTTCAGTTTTTTCCTTCTAATTTTTAATGTGAGTAAATATGTCCATATATCAATACTTTCCTCTTTATTAAATAAACACAGTCTTACCATACATTATACCCTAGCACTCATTCCCTGGATGCAGATAGAGATAGTCCTCATTTCTTTTTAAAGCATCAATTATAAATGTATAATTTGATTATTTGGAAATATATGCTACTAGTTTCACATAAGTTCCCATAAAAAGGAAGTAATATCTTTCATTGATCTTCATGCTTCCGCAGTAGCTAGGATAGGATTTTGCACACAGTAAAGTCTATGAATATTTAATTAGTGAAAATCTGAGCCATGATGAATGTCAGACTTGAATCAAATTAATGATTATTTGGAAAACATTGTGAAACCCACAAATATTCAGGAATTTTATGTATATATTTGTACTCCCAAAAGTAAAGAACTTTTTCATATTCTGAAATAATTTATTATATATGAGAAGCCAGATAAATATAACAGATGTTCCCAAACTTTTTCAAATTAGTTATGGGATGAGCTATATTTTAGAGAATTAGATTTATGCTCCTGATTTCTACTCTTAAGCTTTTACTGAAGTGATTTTGTATCCTTGATAGGATATCATCCAAGGTCAAGAAGATAATTTAAAAGCAACTAGGATATAATTTGACTTGGAAATTTACTGTGCAGGATCTGAAATGCCAACATTGAAGTTGTACAAAATATACAGAATCTAACCTAGCAAACTGCCAAAATTCATCTAGCAGAAGATTTTAAGAACATGGAATTACTGAGGAACTGAATCAAGTAGCTTTGAAGGCTCACAGAGCTAGAAGCTGGGAAGTCCTATTGAGCAGTTAGATACCCAGGTTGCAACTCCAAGGGCCAGGTGACTCAGGCAGAGATGCAGAGACCACTGAAAGTGTTGCCTTAGGCATGTTGCATTCCAGGCTGTTTGTTCAGTGATGAGTCATAAGACCCATGTCCTTTGGATCAGAAATAGGCTCAGTTTTAACCGTAAATAGCTCTGCTCACTTCAAGGTCACAGATAACACTGATGGCACTAGTGACATGGCTATAGTACCTCAATGTTGGATTAATAACCACCATCTTATACTTGGAATTACTGGCTACAGTTTATATTCTCTCTTGTAGGAGAGAATACATAATACATGATACATAATTCTGGGTCTCCTGGATCTGTTCATGGTAGTAGGTAATTCAAACACAAGATTAAAGTGGAAACCTTAGTATGTTTTCTAATTTATATCTCATTTAATGGGCAGCTCAACCCAATATGTAGGTAATATACCTCTAGTTATACTGATGATAAAGTAAAATGTCAGAAAACTGCACAGTGGTAGAGATGGATGGGAGACCACCTAAATGCAAAGTCCCCAGTTTGTGTTCAATATCACACTGACCTGCTTCTAAGCTTGCATGGAATCTGTGATTTGGTTTTCTCAAATCACAGACATGCATACATGCAGTAAGTACTGAAAACTGGGAAATTACTGAATTAACTCTTCAATTGTTTTAGTTCAGATAATATATATAGTACGTAAGTGGTGACAAAGATTCCTTCCTTGGCCAAACTTTATTCAGGCTTCTCTGAGCCCTTTTCTTGTTTGTACTTTACCCTGTCTACAAAGTTCAGGTTTCACCAAGAATCCTGCTAGCTCAGTTCATTTAGAATTACCCAACCCTTGATATCTCATCAAGTTCCTCATCTCCCAGCCTTGATATTTAAAACCTTGGGTTGTCATTAGCAAGAATTCTGTTAAATCAGTTTACCAAGAATATACCTGCCCTTAATCTGTAATGAAGTTACTTTTAGTGATTTTTCATTCACTGACCTTCACACTAATCATTGGTTATGAATCCCTAGCTGTTTTTACTGTATTCTGAGTTCAGTTCAATTTTTCTTCATTATTTCAATAGTCCTGACTAAAGAGTTCCTTGCCAAATTTAGCAATTACCAATATAATTTTTTATTATCAGTGATAGAAAATGGGAATGTGTGGCTTTTCCACTAGAAGTTTTTTTAGCGCTACTATCCAATCCTGTGACCAGTCATGTTTGAGAGTTTGATAGAGAGGTAACAAATTGATGCCATTTTTAAAAAAAACTCTACTGACACCTTTTATTATTGAGTTTTAAGTAAACCAGCAATAATCAGAATTGTCTTTTTTTCCAAAGGCATTTCACCTTTCTAAGAAATTATGTGGGTTTTACCTGACTTCAAAATGTTTATAAACCTGTATTTCTCACACATTTGTTAAACAACATAGAAAATAAATATTCCAATGAAGGAAAACAACATACCAAATGTCAGTAATGATCAAGGTGTTAGGGAGAAATGATGTCTTGAGCTAATTCCATACAGGCTTTGTGGACCCCACCCCCACTCCAGACTAAAGCCATCAAGATATTGGGAAAGACAAATTCTGTCACCACCAAAGGGAGGGTAGCTGGGACCTGAGGGTGGAGTTGGGCAGCCAGGTTGGATATAAAAACCAAACACGTGGGCCTTGGGGTGGCTCGCTATCGCTTGCCTCCTGGCTTTACGGCTCCTGGCTCCCTGCCAGCTCTCAGAGTGCCATTTTGGAATTCCTGATCGGCAGATCGGGTAGGACTCATTTAAAACTTTGTCCCCCACTTTTCTCCCTGAGCTGTACATGTCCTCATTTCCCCTTCCCTTGTAAATAAACCTTTTATTAACCTTTCGCGTGTGCCTGCAGTAGAGCATTGATAAGTCCTTTTAAGCGCGGGTGAGGACCCACAGTTAGGCACCCCGTTTTGTATCGGGGTTGCTATACAACAGTTTGGCGCCCAGCGAGGCACATTCCTTTGGGGAAAATGGCTCTGTTAAAAAAAAAAAATCCAGGGCCTCCCTGGTGGCGCAGCGGTTGAGCGCTGGGTTGTGAAGCTGCCCTCAGCCTCTGCAGCGCCGGTTCGATCCACTGCCGCTCCCCGGCCACCGGAGGAGGGTCCCACATGGCGTGCAGACCTCTCCTGCCGCCCGCTGCTCCCCTCAGCAGTGTACTTCGTCAGTCTGCCTGTTCTGTTCCCCGCTCTGGCTCTGGTGAATTCTCTCACCCTCCCGCACTTCTGACTGTACCCAGTGCTTGTATAAATAAATAAATAAATAAATAAATAAATAAATAAATAAACCTTAAAAAAAAAAATCCAGTCTATATATGCAAACAAAGCAAAGAAATTCAGTCTTCTTTTCTTTAAAAATCTGTTTCTCGGGCCTCCCTGGTGTCTCAAAGGGTTAAACAACTCACTATGAAGGAAACTGCAGCCTCTGCAGCACGAGTTGGATCCCTGGCCAGGGAGAAACACAAGCGGCTCAGCAGACCTCTCCTGCCTCGCCCACTGCTCCCCTCAGCAGTGTATTTCAGTCAGTCTGCCTGTTCTGTTCCCCACTCTGTCTCTGGTGAATCCTCTCACCACTCGCATCTCTGACCTGTACCCCAGCTCTTGTATATATAAATAAACAATTTAAAAATAAATAAATAAAAAAAATGTTTTTCCTAAATTTCGGTCCACAAAATTGGAAGTAAAGGACTGGGGGGTTGGGGGGACAACACAGTAGTGAAGCTTACAAATTTAAGCAGTCTATGGGCATCACCATTGACTGGGCCTGGATGGCTGGGCTCCGCCTGAGCTCAGGGCCCCAGGGGCTCAAGGCGAGGAGGGGCTCAGGCCCAGGACATAAGGCAGGGTGGGGCGCAGGACCCGAGCCAATGCCGAAAGCCCAAAAGCCCAAGTCCGGCTTCCGCCTCTTGCCCCTCCTCCCTCCGCCCACGCCCGGGCGCAGCCCCAGCGCACCCAGGCCCGAGCGCCCAGGGGGCCTTCGGGACCGCTCAGGTGGCTGCCCCGCCGGCGCCTTCCCGCCCGCTGGGGTCTTCTCCACGTTCTGGCGCACCTCCCCGCGGAACACGGTGGGCCCAGGGCCGAGGCTCTTCTGAACAGGCTCCAAGTCGTTCAACGCCACCAAACCCCAAATGGGGTGGCTTGCCGCTGCAGATGCGCAGCCCCGCCTCGTTGTCGTAATTTTGAAAGAAATCTTGGAGCTCGATTTGTCCGCCATGTGAGGCAGGTTTCCAAGAAAAAGCTGGTGACTTTGGGGGTGTCGGACACTTCTTTGGGGTTCAGCATCACCTTGTTCACCGACTGGTCTCAGTCGCCTCTGAGGGGGAGTGTGTATTCGCTGCTCTAGCACGCGTGCCCCTGAGGCCTCGGCGGTGGAATCTGAGACTAGGCCGTGAATCTGGCAGTTTCACCCCGGGGGTGGATCCCAGTCCCTGGTGCAGCTCCACTCGCTGGACAGAACCTCCAGACAATGTCCGCAAGTCCTGCTGGGCAGCGGGGCGACGTCCGCAGGGACCTCAGATGAGCGCTTCTGAGCATCCTGGTGAGCAGCCTCTTCCAGTGCTGGCTCCGTCTTCTCTCGGATTTCAGATACAGGTTTTTGCTCCGATTCTGGCTCAGGATCAGGCTTGGGTAAGCAACACGTTTCTCTAAATGTTCTTACAGCTCATTGCTGACAGCTTGATCATAGAACGTTCCAGAATCATTAGGTCCTACTTCATGTGCCTGCTGTCTTTCCCCAGGTTCCTCTACTTCTTCCTCAGATTCCTTCTGCGGGCCAGTGACAAAACCACCACACACCGTCTTGGTGTCTGAAGACATCGTTGTGAATGTAGAACTGATTTGTGACAAAGCCCTCAGGAGCATGCACAGACGTCTGCATGAAGCTCCCCAGCGCCTGGTTGGAGAGCAGCCCCATGGCCTGGACCATCGCGCCGGCGTTCAGGGTCGGGTGAGCGTCCTCGTGGCGGATCTGAATGTGGCAGTTGGTGAAGTTCTGCAACATCACTTTCCCGTGCATCTCCTCCTGGCCGTCGGCGGCATCTGCTGGCTTGCCTTTTCAATCCAGTCCCCGATGGACGTAGGAAGAGTTCTTTCCATAAAATCTGTGTAGCTGGTCTGCCTGCCTCAGCAGGAACACTGCCGCACAAATTCCCAGCCAGCCAACAGGGACAGGACTGCCCGGTGATTATTGCTGTGGTCAGTTCAACCCTTTGGGTGAGGCCCAGAGGGCCACGTCGGGGGCTCCAGGGCGGAAAGCGAAAAGCCCTTATGCCGCTGAGTGGGCACTTGGTGTCACTTTGAATAACCACTCCCTACTCCCTACCAGTTGTCCCGGCTCTGCGGAAAATGATGTTCCAGGTGATTATGAAGCCCAGCCACAGGTAAGTAAGAAACTGATGGGTTTGGTTATCTGTGTAGTAGGAAGTAGTGTCTCTAGTTCAAAAGGATTATTTCTAGTTAATCTTTGGTAAGTGAAAGTGTATAGTTCTTGGATTTATAGTGATAAAATGTGAATTCATTAATTAGTAAGTCAAGTTCTCTGTTATATAAAGTGGTATTTTCACTGCCTCTCTATCTTAATGGATAAAAAAGCATGTGTTTCATATTTAGTATCCCTTGCTTGGAAGCTTGGCTTCATCTCTTACTAGCCAGTAAGTATGAAGATGGCTTAGTATTAAACATTTCTGTGTCTTAGTTACATCTTTCTAAAAAAGAATGATAATAATTCTATCTTAGCAAAATGTCCAGATTGCATAGAAGGATAGCAGGGAAAGTGATTAATTCTGTATGGAGATTGGGTTTTCAGAAAATGTGTATTGAATTTTTTTTTGCATGCAAAGAAGCAAAAGAAAATCTGGTAAATTAAACTGCAGAGTCTTTTAAAGTACGTATTGATGTCTGTTAGTTCAGCAGTTCTAGTGTGCAATTCTATTTTACATTATAGTGTTATATCCACTTTAATATTTAATCCTCACAACAAATCCATGAAGGAGATAAGACAGATGTTGGTATTTTATCATTTGTGAGTTTGGTGATTTATCAGAGGTTAACTTTTGCATTTTAACCAATAGCAATAATTGGGAGATTAAAAATAAAATGGTGGTGCTAGAGGGGGAAAACATTTCAGAAAGAGTTTAGGGTTAAGGTAGGGCAGATCCAAACATACAGAAAAGTGAAAAAGAAAAACTCCAAACCATTCATGATGGGGGACATGGCATGAGTAATGGGGAGACTACTGGAATAAAGAGAAAAAAGGAGAAAATACCACTCGGGTATGAGAAATGCTTTGTTTTCCTTTACGTAAAATTTAGAAAAAGACTTTATTTAGAGTAATCAGAATCTTAATTTTCTGTGAATCTGTTTATTGCTATGTTGATGCTGTTCTGCCTTCATTTTTGTATATTAATATATAAATGCAGAAACTTGACTTTTGCATACATAAGTCTCAAATATGTTATTATCAGTAAAAGCAAAATTTTCACCTCTATTAAAATTTTAAAAGCTGTGAAAGGAATCATACTAAGGCTCATATTGCTGGAGTAGTTGAAAGGTGAATATTAATTAAATACCATTATTTCATAGCATAATAATTATATTCAAAAACTATAATTGCAGCAAAAAATACAACTTCTATTGCACCATGAAAATGTTTAGGCTTACACTCCAAGGAATGTTAAAAAAAAAAAGGACAGATAATATTTTAGTTTCCTAATGTTATCATTATAAATATCACTTGGTGGTTGAATTTAAAAACAGATTTTAATTTTCAATAAATTTTTATTAAAGTAACATTGGTTTATAATATCACACATTATAATTTGACAGTTGTCTATGCTATATTATGATCCCCACCAAAAGTCTACTTTCCTTCTATCACCATACAATTAATCTCTTTTACTCCTTTTACCTGCCTTCTATCCTTTTATCCTTTTGTTAACTACCAATCTGTTATTTCTATCTAAGATTCTGTTTTTTTTTTTTTTGTTTGTTTTGCTTAGGTTTTTGCTTTGTTTCTTTATAGTCCACATCTGAGTGAAAACATACAGCATTTTCTTTCTCTGTATGATTTTATTTCACTTTGCATAACACCAGCAAATTCCATTCAAGTTACAAATGATAAGATTTCACATGCACACACACACACATAACATTGATAGACACTGAGTATGTTTCCGTATCTTGGCTATTGTAGACAATGCTGCAATGAACATAGAGATTCATATGTGTTTTCTAATTAGTGGTTTTGTATTCTTTGGATAAATACTCAGAAATTGAATATATAGATCATAGAGCATTTCTATTCTTAATTTATTGAGAACTCTTCATACTGTTTTGCAGAGTGACTATACCAGTTTACCTTCCCACTAAGAAAAATTGTTCCTTTACAATTCTGGAGACTAGAAATCTAAGATTATAATTTTGGCAGAGTTAGTTTCTTCTGAAACTTCTTTCCTTCGCTTATAGATGACTGGCTTACTCCCATATAGTTATCTGATCTTATTTATGTTCCGTGTCTAATCACCTCCTCTTATAAGGACACTGGGACATTGGATTAGGGTTCACATATATGACCTCAATTTATTTATTTTTAAAGATTTTATTTAATTTTGTATCGAAGAACTGGAATGTAGGCTAGAGGTGCAGGAGAGGTGTGGGGGCAGATGGTGAGAGGATTCACCAGAGAAAAAGTGGGGAACAGAACAGGCAGACCTATTGAAAAACACTGCTAAGGAGAACAGTGAGCAAAACAGGAAAGGTCTGCTGCACCATGTGGGTTAGTTCCCTTTCTGGGGATGGAACTCAGGCCATCATGGTGGGCCTTTTCAGTGGTAACTCTGAGACTACCCCCTAGGCACCAGGAAGGCCTGGCTTCAGTTTATGTTAATTTCCTCTGTAATGGGCCTATCTCCAAATGCAGTCACATTCTGAAGCACTGGAGATTACCAGTTGAGCTATGAATTTGAAGGGATACAATTCACCCCATTTACTTCCCCAAATGTATCCTGAAATATACTTTATATTCAACATAGAATGTTTGGATACCATATTGATTATAAGACTTTTATTTTTCTATTTATTGCTCCCCTTGAAGTATGCAGGCAACAGAATCTGTTTAATTATTGCCAAAAGCCAGCCATAAGGGCAACATCTTTGTCCAGAGAGAGATTGTGTAAACCTCATAACCTCATTCTGAAGACATTTTGGGGAAATTTCAGTAAGAAGCAATTCACTATTACTGACATATATATAGAAATATATAAAGAGAGATATGTAGATGCAGATAGAGATATATATATAAAATAATATTTTTAATAAAATGGAAAAAGAGACAGATATGCTAGTTGACTTTTTCACTGCTGTAGTATACAAAAGCTAGTTATTCCATGAACTATATACCATATGTGTTGTTTAAAAGTGATAATGAATTTGCTACAAACATAATAAATCATTTTCATAATTTTATATTGTTAACTATCATGAATTATGTACATTAAAAAAAATTGTGAAGAGGCAGTGTGAAACAGGCTGCATTGAAATAGGACTGGCAATTAGGATAGCAAGATTCCAGCCTAAGTTCTTCTATGCTCCTATTAGCACAGGGAAATCAATTTCATTTCATTATTTTAAGATTCCATGGTTCTGTGTGACCCAAGATAACTTCATTTTATTGTGATATCATTTAGAGATTTAACAACTCTGCTCAGTTCAGTTCTTCCACATATTTTATGAAGGGCAGTCTGGAAAAAGATGACAGTAGAGAATTTTCAGCACAATGTTGAAATCAAGACCTATATTTGATCAATACAGGCTATTTTTTCTTTCAGTACTGGTTCTTCTCCAGCTATTTTATCATCGCCCTTGCAGAATCATGTTGAGATTTCAGATTTCAGATGAGAAGTAAAAAGATCAGTTGACTTCTTCAGAGACTGACTAGTGACCTCTGTGCTGCCATGTTCCCTCAGTGACTTCTTTCAGATTAATTGACATCCATCTTCCCTGCAGGTGAAAGAGACTACTTTCCCAATAGCATAATATAAAAAGTTCAAAAATGGTGTCTCCCTTTAAATAGTTATCGACTTAGAAATGCTTTGATTTTTATAGTTTAGAATTTAATATTGCCTTTCAATAGACCTCTTTCAAATGTCCATTTTAGAGTATCCTGTCATATTATGTAACTTCCCTTAAGATACTTAAGAGTCATAATACATTTAGAAGTTAAAAACTAAGGTGAATAAGTATAAGTTAATCAGGTTACTTGGACAAGAGGACCTTGTTCCCACACATCCAGGCAGTGAGCACATCTTCTCATCTGGAAAGCACCATCGCTGCCGTTGCTACACCACCCCATGTGCTTGAGACACATCAGACACACTGCTTTCTCCATGACCTTTTCAGGTATTACCCCTCTGTCTTGAATGCCCTGGCTTCCCAAAATTCCAACATGCTTTGCTTCCTCATATCCCCCAGAAAGCTCCAATCCCTTCATCAGGGATGCTTTCTTCAAACTCTGTTTCTTGTCCCAACTCTATATTCACTCAATTTTTCTCCATAGCTCCTGGAAAAAATAACATATTTGCTTGCTGATTTTCTGTTACCATCTCTAGGAGGAGAACTCTATTAGAATAATAACCCAGTCACTTTATTATTCCTAGGTCTTCGAATGGTATCTTCTACATTTTGAGTTCTTAGAACAGTCACTAAATAGAGGTATGACTGAAAGAAACCAGACTCACAAATGTTAAATGCAGTTTCTGAAGTTTTCATGAATATATATGAGTTGTATCTTTTTCAGTCATAACACTCATTTCTGTGGCAGTCCTGGAACCCTTCAAGTGAAAGGAATTCTCTAGAAGTCATTTGGGTTTTTTACTGTCCAGTAGTGGCTGAGAAGATTCAGTGACTTCATTTTCCCCTCCACATGCTGTTCTGTGTCCAGCATACAAGGATGCATTTTCTAAGTGTCTTTCACAATTTAGTAGTCTGGCATTTTCAATGCCTGACTTTCTTAACCAGTTACCATCAGGAATAATGACAAAGGAATATGAGCAAGTAGCAGAAAAATAATATTTGGTCACTCATTTTCACTCTTATTCAATTTCTCAGTTGAAGAAGATTCAGCTAAAGAGAAAAAGTAGTTAAAGAAAACTGTATGCAGGACCTTTTCTTCTGAATTTTAAGCTGTAAAATACTATAAGCAATAGTGCTTGACCTTTAGAACATGACTGTCATCTTCTTTAAATCCATAGCCCCCATCCTCCCTTTGCAGTGAAGATGAAAGGTTAAATAATTAATAGCAGAGAGGGACACAATGAAATTCACCCAGGGATTAGAAAACTGCCTCTTTCCTTGAGTTCTGATTTGAAACAACTTCCAATAGCTG